GGGGTAATGTTGGGAACATTTCCATGCTGCCTAGAGCACCAGAATTTTCTCTTTTTTTCCTTTGAAACTATGCTGTGAAACTTGTGGCATAAAGTTTTACTCCTTTATTTGCTGATGATATGTTTAAATTTTTGTTTTTTCTTAACAATTTTTGTTCTTTTTATTAGTTATTGGTGGTAGGAGCTTCTGAAGTACTTCTTTTACTATACTGACTTTACCTGAAAATTCTAATAATGACTTTTTGCAGTTTTCACATCTCTCTCTGACATTCGACATTGCTAATAACTTCTTTTTTATCCCATCATATGTAACTCTATCAAACCTCTTTTTTGCTTACTTAATCTCTACCTTTGGCTTTTCTTCTTCTAGTTCCTCCATTGATACATTCTCATGGGCTTTGTCCTTGTAATTCTCTGCTTTTCTGTCAACATTCAGTCTATTGGTTTTATCACCTTTAAGCAGCTGACTCTCAAATTTGTATCCTTAGCGTTGTATTTTACCTAAGCATTTATTTCCTGCTTATTCTCATTCTTCCATTTCAATTGATATTGTCATCATTTATTATTAAAGCCTTGAAGTTGTCATTGTATCATCTGTCTCTCTTTTCTTTAAATCCATTTACCAGGTCAAGCCTCTTTGATCTTAACTCTCACTGACATTGTCAATTATAGATCCTCATTTCTCAAGCTGTATAGCTGTAGTGACTTATTAATTTGCCTTCTTATGTCTCATTTTATGTTTTTGCTGTCTTCAAGCTATTTTATACCTAGCTTCCAGATTAAACTCTATCTCTATGTCTCTTTTTAAATTAACTGTAACATACATATAGAAAAGTGCACAAATCACAGATGCTCAGCTTTATGAAATTTCACCAACTGAACACACTTGCGTAACTAGCACCAGCAAACTAACCATTTAAAACATCACATTCATGATCTTGTTATTTTGCCTTAAACACCAGTTAAGGAGTTTGAGCCTTATTAGTTCCCTTAATGTTAGAATAGCAAGAGGTAAATTGGCGTGCCATCTGCCACTGCTTGCCACATATAGCTTGATTTTGGAGACATTTCTTTGTTTACTTCACCCCCTAGTCACTTATATTCCCCATATTGCTTCCTGAAATACATTTCCTTTTTAACCTTTTTATCTAAATCATGGTTTTTCCAACCTTAACTCATGTCGTGCTATTTCTAGGAAACTTTTCTAGATTACTTCAGGTTTCATTAATTTTTTCTTTTTCTCTTCAAAAATTCTTTAATTAATTTTTGAATAAGTAATAGCAATATGTTCACTTAAAACAAAATTAAGATGTACAAAAGAGTATATAATGAAGAGTCTCCTTCCCATTCCTGTGTCCCAGCCACTGTGTGTTCTTCTAGAAATATTTTATGCACTTAACAAGTAAATTTAATTTTTATTATTCTTCCTCCTTTTTACACAATGTAAGCATACCAAGTTTTGTATCTTACTGTTTTCTATTAATAATGGTTAATGATAGTTCCCAATCAATACACAAGTTTTCTCATTTTTATATTAGGGTTGAATGACACTCCACTGAATGAATATGCCATGACCACATCTATCACATATGGTTGTGAATGTTGGACACTGAACAGATTCACACAATGATTTGAATGGTACTCCTTAGGATTTCTCAGTTATCAATACAATCAACTGCAGCTGCTTTGATTGTAATTTACCTAGTCAGTTCCTTTTAATTAATATTTCCAGTTTTTAAAAAAATTCCAAACACTACTGAATTGAATAGGCTTATGTATATCATTTGACATCTGTGGAAAAATTATCTGTAGGATACCATTCCCTTTAATTCCTTAAAGTATTTATAATCTCTACTAATTTAATAATTAGACATAATCAGTTAATTATGGAGCTGTTTTTTAAAATTTTTATTATTTGTGATTCCTCAAGGAGTGGTACCATGTATTAAATTATTTTATATTCACCCTGACCTAGAATACTGGTGTACATAAATAAGCCCTTAGGGTGGGCTGGAGTGTTTCTCAGATAGCTGCCAGATTGTTTCCCTTTTTATTCATCTAAGTTCTTCATAATCCTTTTGAAATTCCTAATAATGAGAGAAAAAAACTATTGTCAAAGCTTTGACCACAGCTAGATGCATTTAGAAGCAGAAGTGATGTTTATTCCAAGCTATAGAATAAAATGAACCACAATCTCAGATATAGTTTTAAAAAAAAAAGCAAAACGTTTCACCTTTCTTTGGAAAAAAATTTCTTATTCTTCCATTGAAAACATGGTATGAGAGTATATCTTCGCTGAGACTTAGTTGAGCTATAAGTAAAATAACGGAAAAATGTTCTTTTTTGTGACCCATAAAGATACAGTATATCAAAGTAAATTTTTTAAAGCTACTACCTACAAAGTGAATAAACTAGAATTATCCTACTTGATATTAAAGTGAATAAGTCAATTACTTTTATTGACTTATTTATGTTAAGGTCCATTTAGTGTCCTGCTTGCAACTTTGGAAACCTTGATGGAGTACATTTTTCCACAACCTTTTTCCCGCTCTACTTGTTCGATCATAAAACCAGACAGTTTTCAGTTGGGAAAAAATTGGAATTTGTTTTCTATTTGGAAAACCCACACATTTTTACCGTCTCTTTAAATGGTATCACTGAGCTTAGAGAGAGAAACCTTTTCTTATTTTTCTGTATAGGTTAGAGGATTTCAGCTGAATTAAATTGACTGCTGATATGATGAGCCAGACTTAAAAATAAAAGATGTGTTTCTTTATTTCTTCTAACTGACCCTAAAAGATTCACTGCTTGAAATTCTAGGAGACTGGAGGGGAAAATAAATTCTATCATAGTTCTTGGGATTTATAGCAAACAAGCAGGAATAACTTTGGGGTGTCTGATAACTGACCTTTAGATGATTATAAGTTATACTGCAGAGATTTTTTTTTTTAACAACTTTGAGCTATAACTCACATGCTGAAGAATTCACCCATTTAAACTGTACAATTTAATGGTTTTTATTCTGTTCACAGTTGTGCAACCATTACCACAATCAATTTTAGAGCCCTCTACTCACTCCAAAAGGAAATCCGGTACCCGTTAGCAGTCACTCCTCATTTCTTCACAAATTTGCCAGCTCTAGTCAATACTAATTTGATTTATGCCTCTAAAAATAGATTTTGGACATTTCATATAAGAAGACAGCACAACATGTCAGTCTTTTCTGTTTGGCTCATTTCACTTAGCATGTTTACAAGGTTTATCCATGCTGTAGCTTGTTTCAACATTTCATTCATTACCGTTGCCAATTTCATTGTATGGATACATCGTTTTATTTATCCATTCATCAGTTGATGAACATTTGGGTTGTTGCCCTTTGTGACTATTATGAATAATTCTGCTCGAATATTAATGCACAAGTTTTTGTGTGGGCATATGTTTTTATTTTTCTTCGGTACATACCTAAGAGTGGAATTTCTGGGTCATATATAATAACTGTGTTTAAGTTTTGAGGAACTATCCGTTTTACATTTACACCACCAGTATCTGATGGTTCTAATTTCTTCACAGTCTCCAACACTTGATATTATCTGTCTTTTTGATTATGGATATCTTAGTGGTGTGAAATGGTATCTCATTGTGGTTTTGATTGGTATTTTCCTAATGGCTAATGATATTGAACATCTTTTCATGTGCTTAGTGGACGTCTGTAAATCTTATTTGGAGAAATGTCTACTCAGATCTTTTGCCCATTTTTAATTGGTTTGTCTTGTTATTATTGAGTTGTAAGAATTCTTTATATAATCCAGATAAAAGTCCCTGATCAGATATATGATTTGTAAATATTTTCCCCATTCTGTGGTCTTATCAGTTACTTGATGGTGGCCTTCAAAGTACAGAAGTTTTTAATTTTGATGAAAACAAATTTACATATTTTTATTTTGTTGCTTGCACTTTTGGTGTCATATTTAGAAACCATTGCCTGGACCAAGGTCACGAAGATTTACTACTATATTTTCTTCTGAGTTTTATAGTTTTAGCTCTGATATTTAGATCTGTGATTCCTTTAGATTTAATTTTTTGTGTATGGTCTAAGGAGACATCCTGCTTAAGTCTTTTGCATGTGGAATCCAATTTTCCCAGCATCTTTAGTAGAAAAGACTTTTTTTCCCTCCATTGAATAGGCTTGGCAGTGAAGTCTGAGTCCTCCAGCTTTGTTCTTTTTCTTCAGGGTGTTTTGGTTTGTTTGTTTATTTATTTGGTTATTCTGGCTTCCTTGCATTTCTTTGTAAGTTTTAAGATTAGCTTGTCAATTTCTGCCAAAAAAAAAGCTATCTTAGATTTTAATGTGGATTGAGTTAAGTTTGTAGAACAAGTTGGGCAGTTGCTTTATTAATATTAAGTCTTTTGGATCCATTAACATGAGTCTTTCCATTTATTTAGGTCATCTTTAATTTTTTTCAACAATATTTTATAATTTTAAGAGTAAAGTTTTGTATTTATTTTGTAAAATTTATTCCTAAATATTTTATTCTTTTTGATGCTGTTGTAAATGGAATTGTTTTGGAATTGTTTTTTAATTTTGTTTTCAGATTGATCATTGCTAGTATGTAGAAATACAGTTGATATTGTATATTGATCTTGTACCCTGTAATATTACTGAGCTCATTTATTAGTTCTAATACTTTAAAAATTGTATTTCTTAGGATTTTCTATATACGTCATGTCATCTGCAAATAAATATAGTTTTAATTCTTCCATTCCAAATTCATTGGAAATTATTTCACTTATTTCATTCTACTGACTGGAACCTCTATTACAGTGTTGAATAGAAGTGGTGAGATTGGACATTCTCATCTTGTTCCTGATTTTTTGGGGAAAGCTTTCAGTTATACTGATTTTTTTTTTTTTTTTTTACTCTAAAAAGAATGGGCCATAACTTTGCTTTGAAGACTAATTTCCTTTTGATTTAAGATTCTTTTCTTCTGTTTACATACACAGATATGTGCTGATTAGACGGCTCAATTGTGCAGCGTGGAGGATAAGACAGTGCCTTACAAAAATGGGGTTTGGGAGTGACCTGAAGAATTCACATGAAGCTGTGTTAAAATTGCAAGACTGGGAATTACAGTTACTGGAAACAGTGAAGAAATTTATGGCCCTGAGAATAAAAAGTGATAAAGAATATGCATCTACTTTACAGAACCTTTGTAATCAAGTTGATAAAGAAAGTACTATCCAAATGAATTATGTCAGCAATGCATCCAAGGTAAGAAGAATGATTTCATCATTTATTGTCTATAGCATCATAGTTGTCCTTAAGGCAAATACATCATACTATTGAATAAGCGTACCTAAGTCAGCATTCTAAAATCTTCCAAAATCTTGCTGATTATCAGAATCTCATGGGGAAAGTTTCAAAAATTGTAAAATTTGGGCCCAGCTCCTGATATTCTGAGTCAGTAGGTCTGAAATTTTTGAACTTTGAAATCTTTTTTTCCAATAGATGTCCAGATTATTCTAATGATTAGTTAGGTTTGAGAACCCTTCTTACAAATTTCATTTTCTTTATTACCCTACCTCCTTGGTTTCCTTGAGCCCACTGCTTTCTTCTTTTGACACAAACTTTCATTATAACCCACCTTCCCTGCATTCTTCTGTGAATCATTTGTATAGTGAATCACATGGAGTATTTTAACATGTAGGTGTTCTCTGCTGTCATTTCATTACTAAAATACTAATATATTGATGATTTAATCACACATAAAAATCCTTTGGATAAACAATATGGTTTTTTAGCTCCAAGATTATAAAGTATAAAATTTAAAAATAAGGGCTATAAAAATAAAGGCCAAAATTGCACTGCTGATTGTCCTTTGAAGGCATAAAATATGAAATATTACACACCTTAATAGTTTTGGATTTTCGCTGTTTATTTTCATTGTCTTACTTCACATTTCACTATATTTATTCAAAGTTAAAATTTTTTTTACCTTACTTGGAAAGTTAAAAAAATTAGTGCGTTCCTTGCACTCATGGGTCTTAGGATTTGAGTAAATTGTAGAAGAAACTCTGTTTCTTATGGGGAATGCGTGTATGTGGTATGTGTGATCAGGTAAAGATCTGTGATGTTGCTGAGAACTCCTAATGTTAATATCTTTAACATCCTTTCCTGGGCCAATGAGATTCCCCAAAGAACCATTCTTTAGTCTCTAGTCTGAAGGTAGGGTTGCCAGATGTAGCAAATTAAAATATAGAACACCAGTTAAATTTGCGTACAATATTTGAGAAATGCATACAATAAAAATTATTTATTTTTTATCTGAAATTCAAATTTAACTGGTGTCCTGTATTTTGTTTGACTACTCTGTTATGTTATGGGAATAGATAGGGAAAGTAGATTGAGTGTTCGAAGAGTCATATTTTAGTTAATCCTCCTGTTTTTGGTAAGCTGCCTGGTGTCTCTGAGTCCAAAAGCTCTCTGGTTAATTTTTTCCTCTTGTTTTCTTCTGCACTGGGGAAAGAATAGTTGCATGTCTGTGGGCTGAGCAATAGGAACTAGAATTCTGGCTGTTCCTTATATAGACTGAATCAATCCTTTTGTTTCGGTGCCCTCTCCTTTTTCTTCATTTAGATTTCTCCAGTTCCTGAGATTTATTGGAGTTATCTGACCCTATAAACTGGTCTTTTCTCCCCCCAGTTTCATTAAGATATAATTGACATACATCACTGTATAGGTTTAAGGTGTATAGCATGATTTTTTTTTTTAAAAGGGCTTCCTCATTCTTTTATTTTTAATAAATTTATTTATTTATTTATTTCTGGCTGCATTGGGTCTTCGTTGCTGCATGCGGGCTTTCTTTAGTTGCGGCAAGCGGGTGCTACTCTTCGTTGCGGTGCATGGGCTTCTCATTGTCGTGGCTTCTCTTGTTGCGGAGCACGGGCTCTAGGTGGGCGGGCTTCAGTAGTTGTGGCACATGGGTTCAGTAGTTGTAGCACATGGGTTCAGTAGTTGTGGCTCACGGGCTCTAGAGTACAGCCTCAGTAGTTGTGGCACATGGGCTTAGTTGCTTCGCGGCATGTGGGATGTTCCCGGATCAGGGATCGAACCCATATCCCCTGCATTGGCAGGCAGATTCTTAACCACTGCACCACCAGGGAAGTCCAGCATGATGGTTTGATTTATGTTATGTTGTGAAATGATTACCACAGTAGATTTAGCTGATATCCAAATAATTAAAAGAAAAGGAAAAAATTTCTCTTTTTGATAAAAACTCTTAGAAAGCACTCACTTAACAACTCTTATCATACAACAGTGTTAACTATAGTCATCATGCTATACATTATATCCCTAGTACTTATTTACCTTATACCTGGAAGTTTGTACCTTTTGATCATTTTCCTCCAATTCCCCCCCTCCCACCATGTGGCCTTTTCTTCTTGACCTCCCCTTTGCTGTACACTTAAGTTTCACCTTTTCCTGACATGCTAATCAGTTACCACTTACATTTTCTAACATTTTGTTGGCAAGTCTTATCTGTGATTGTTGCCTTTTCTATCTTCTTTGTTATTGCGAATTTATATTTTAAGTGACTATATTATATTTTGGTAGGGTTTTGGAAAGGAGTGAAAAATAGCCATGTGTTTTATTTACTATGTTAACTGAAATTATACTGTTTAGAAAAGTATGGGACTTCCCTTGGAGGTCCAATGGTTAAGACTTCCCTTCCAGTGCATGTGGTGTGGGTTTGATCCCTCGTTGGGAAGCTAAGATCCCACATGCCTTGCAGCCAAAAAGCCAAAACATAAAACAGAAGCAATATTGTAACAAATTCAATAAAGACTTTAAAAATGCTCCACATCAAAAAAATCTTAAAAAAAAAAGTAAGGTAGTGAAAGGAACAAGAAATAGTATTAACAGGTAAGAAGATTGAGGATTTATGAGTTCAGGACAGAGAAGGAGTCATCAATGTGTATACTGAAGTGTCAGGTATTTTGGTGAGGGATAGATGGAGACAAATGCTAAGATAAAGAGGGCAGGAGAATTTGGGGGGATGGGAAAAGGGGATAGGAAAAGGTGATAGATTGAGAGGAAGTGGTTTAATTGGTAGTATTGCCTTTCAGAGAGGAAGTGTTGAGAGATAACAGTTGAACAATGGTTGGAAACCCAAAGAAAAACAAGGAGTATGTCAGCTTTTCCTCTTAACTCTGAAAATGCATCACATTATTCTGATTATTGTTGCTTTATAGTAATCTCAAAGTTAGATAGTGTAATTTTTCTTTGTGCTTTTTTTTCTTTCCAAAATTGTTTTGGCTACTTTAGTTCCTGTGCATTTCCATATGAATTTTAGAATTAGCTCATCAATTTCTATAAAAAAGACTACTGATTTTTGATTGAAATGCATTGAGTATATAGGTAAATTTTGGGAAAATGTATATCTTAACAGTATTGGAGTTCTAATCCATAGACATAGTGTATATCTTCTTTAATTTTCCTAATTAATCTTATATCAATAGTTTTAAGTGTATAGGTCTTTTGGGTTTATGTGTATTTCATATTTTTTGATGTTCTTATAAATAGTATTTTTCCTAATTTTCAGTTTCCCACTGTTCATTGTTATTATGTATGTTAACCTCATAACCTAAACTTTGCAAAACGTACTTATTTGCAGTTGTCTTATAAATTCCATTGAATCTTCTACACAGATGATTATATTATCTGCAAACAAAGAGAATTTTAGTTCTTCATTTCCAATTTGGATGTCTTTTATTTATTTTTGTGGCCTTCTTGCAATAGCTAAAACCTCTGGTACAGAGTTTAATAGAAGTATTGACAGCAGACATCTATGTCTTGTTCTCGGTCTTAGGGGAAAAGTGTTTAGTCTTTCACTATTAAGTATGATGTTAATTTTGAGTTTTTTTAGATATCTTCTATAAGCTTATAGAAATTCCCTTCTGTTCCTGCCTAGCTGAGAGCTTTTTCATTAATTGTTTTTGGATTTTGTCAAGTGGTTTTTCTTCTTCTGCTTAGGTGATTGTATTTTTTCTTTTCAGTTTGATAATATGTTGAAATGTATTGATTGATTTTCAGATGTTTCAAACATTTGAAGATTGTTAAAAAAAAAAAAAGGGCTTCCCTGGTGGCGCAGTGGTTGAGAGTCTGCCTGCCGATGCAGGGGACACGGGTTTGTGCCCTGGTCCGGGAAGTTCCCACATGCCGCGGAGCGTGCGTGTCTGGAGCCTGTGCTCCACAATGGGAGAGGCCACAACAGTGAGAGGCCCGCATACCGCAAAAAACAAAACAAAACAAAAAAACAAAAAAAAAACCTTCCCACTTCATCTTTTTGTATTATCCTTGTTTTTATGTCACTGGATTCAATTTGCTAAGAAATTTTTTTGGAGAATTTTTGTTTCAGTGTTGCTGAGGCATATAGGTCTACAGTTCCTTTTCCTGTAATATTGTCTGGTTTTGGTAGCAGAGTAATAAGCCTGGCTTCATAAGACAAGTGGGAAGTATTTTCTTCAATTTTCTGGAGAAGTTTATGTTGAATTGGTTTTATTTCTTACTTAGGTGTGTGATAGAATTCACCAGTGAAGTCATCTTGGCCTAGAGTTTTCTTTGGGAGAAGGTTTTTGGTTATAAATTTAATTTTTAAAGTAAAGTGTTATTCATATGATCCTTTTCTTCTTCAGTGAACTATAAGGAATTTGTTTATTTTTGCCTAAGTTGTCAATTTTTTTTAGTGTTGTTTATTATTTTGCCCTGTTGTCTTTTTAATATTTGGAGAATCTGTAGTGGTCTTATCTGTCTCATTCCTGATATTGATAATTTGTGTCTTCTTTTTTTTTTTCTTGATTGGACTGGCTAGAGGTTTCTCAATTTTACTGATGTTATATGAGAACCAACTTTTGATTTCATTCATTGTATATTGATATTCTGTTTTCTATTGCATTGATTTCTGCTCTGAAATCTATTAATTTTTTTCCCCATTTAATTTGTGTTTCATTTGCTCTTTTTCTCCCCTGGATTAATAAAGTAGAAGTTGAGATCACTGATTTAAGACTATTCTTCTTCTGTAATACATACATCCTTATAGTGTTCTTAATTTTTTCTGAGTACTGTTTTAGCTGCATCCCAGAAAATTCTCATATGGTTATTTTCATTTTTTTCAGTTCAGAATACATTTTAATTTCACTTTTGATTTCTTCTTTGACCCATGTATTCTTTCAATGTCTCTTATATAATTTCCAAGTAGTTGTTTTTTTTTC